TAAAGTTAGAAAGGAACGGATTGGGGGTGGGGGAGAATACTAGGTAAGAAATAAAGACATCCACACTCCAACATGACAAAGAACGTGTTTAAAAGCAAACTAATTTTTAGTCTACAGTTCATCTTTTATCACACAATCTTCATAATAAAAATCCTACTTCAAACTGAAAATGATTTTCTCTGAAATAACACAACTAAAAAGCCCAAGGTCACTTCTTCACACTACCACCATCATTAGCATTATTTAAATTGGCACACATCCTGGCTTACAGAAAGGAAACAAAAAAGTCTTAGTAATTGCAAATGAAGCAAGAACGCTTTACATCATATGTTTACCCACATTTTGGGTTGTCATGGGTTCTGCTAGGGAGCAGCAGAGAATCTGACATTACTTTAAGTAATCTTTTCTCAAAGTGATCTGCAAAACCTCCTGTCACTACTGTGGGTGCAGTATTAATAGTGACTTCTATGAACATATTCATCTTTTAGAAAGCTTAAAAAGAGATTGTCTGAAAGGAACGGAACTGCATAAAATTAGCTATAGAATTAATTCATCACAAGTGCTATTTGTCTAGCGTGCATTTCCTCCCACACCACACTTTTTCTGTTGTTACGGGTAAGAGAGAAGACTGTTTTTAGCAAGAAGGTTTTAATCTCAGAATTTCTTTTCAATGGATGGGTCCAATTGCCAGCAACTTCTCTCTCCATTCCCGTCTCTGTCCATCACATCCCTAGAGTCTGTTCCACACCTGTTATATTTGTATGAAGGTGGTCTCAGATAACTGAGGCATAAGACAAAAATGTGGCAAACATACAGCGTATGTTCTAGTTACAAATTCTTATTGCTGGGGGTAGGAGAGGGGGGACAACAAGCATCCAGTAGCACAGACCAAGAACTGAGACTCACAACATTAAGATAGATTAAGTTCATTATACAGCTGGGTACTATCATGAAGGCATGTGTCAGTCTGCACATGAAGTCACATCTCTACATTTGAAATGTCCAGAGTGTGAAACCAAGTTTCCTTATTATGCTGTTCCACCTGCTCAGTGCTTCTTTAGAGCCTGTTATTCTCAGTTCATGATAACTGAGACTCAGTATGTCCTTTTTATTCAAAAGAAAAAGTGAACTGAGGAAATCAATAGAACTTTACTTTAGAGTCCCATATGTCTTCAATCTTTTGTCAGGGAAAACCTATTCTGAGGGCAATTGAAAGAACTAAAACAAACTGCCTTTCTGATGAGAAAGCAGCACAGTGTCAGGTAGACACTACTTGACCAATTTGAGAAGCCAGAACAGTTTTTGACATTAGCAGATGATGAGCTTTGATCTGGTGCATGGCAAGTTCCAGGCCACTTAAAAACGTCAATAAACTTAAGAACTGTATAAGTTTGCCTAGAAATTTAATAAGCATATTATTGTCTGCAAAAGTACTATTAGTTTGACGGCTACACTCCTCTCTTCCTCGCAAAAAGATTAGGATCCATGTAAATCAACACTGCAAGTCAGCACCTTTAAAAAGGAACTTTAGACAAAATAAGAAAGCAAACCTGTAGGAAAATTAAGGTTGAGGTTTCCTTTTTGGATATGCTTTTGGCTTCACAATATAGAATGGGCTCGTGACAAAAATCGAAACAGTAAGTATTCAGACCTGTAATAGCTATAAAACCATTTAACATCTCTACAAAGAAATCTTATTAAAAAGCATATTGCTCCCCATTTTACAATGGAATTTCTATTACAATGGTCTTAATTGCAATAGGTAGTAGACTCATGTTACGCCACTTGAGGTACCCTACCTCCAGTGAGAGCAACCATACTTCAAAACACTGTCACACTATCACTGAAGCTACAGAGGTCTGATTACCAGCACAGAACAATTTGATTAGCAGATAAGTTGTAACTCATCCTGCTGCATCCCCACTGAATTACTAGTTTCAGCAGCAGCATCACTGGAGCTTTAACTCACCACCCCCAAATCTGAGGGTGTCTCTCCACCAGATGGGTATAATGGTATGCAACTAAAAGTTCCCCAGTATTCATTAATATAGTTCCATTTCAAACAGTCCTACTTCAATGCACAGTAAATATTTTTTTCTGCACACCAGCAACATTCACACGGGCCAGTTAATGCACGACTTGCTAGTGTGCCATAGAATCCTATGGTGTGGACTAATGCACTGCATAGATAAGCCCAAAGATGCCACCTAACTCAAACTAGAGATTTTTGTGTGTGGATGGGAGTGGGGGTTAGGGACAAAACTTAATTATATCTTGAGCTAACAATACAGCCATAAATGTGTCCATGATTTCAAGTGAAAGACCTGTTGCATGCTAGTGTAATTTTATAAAAAGAACAAAAACTGCCACTAGCATTCCAATCAAGGGAATACAAAAAAGATTAGGAGTTTCTATAAAGTCTGCAATGCAGTTCTATCTCCTATATCAGCTCAAGTAGTTTTAAAATGGCAGAAAACATCTGAACATAAAAATTTGCTTTCAAAGTCAACAGTACTGATATTTGAACAGTACTTGCAATATGGAAAGCTTCACATTAGTAAAATCATTCTCATTCTTGAACTTCTCCAATCTGTGTGTTGAAGGAGGCAGCACAAAAACAAATAAGAACTCTTTTGGTATTTCTTCCTGAACTAGTCTTCTTATTCCAGCATGTGCTGTATTTGGTCAAGGTGGGATTGCTGCCTGACCCAGTAGCTGAACAGGTAATCTTTTGAAACACATAAATCTAATGTATTCCCCCTTCAAAAAAACAGGGATTAAAATAGACACAACATGTTTGTGTGCACAGGGGATGCTTTTTGCCTGAAAAATAAGATTGCTATTCATCTGCAGAATTATTGTTAGACACATTAACAAGTGTTATAAAAAACTCATACTCTTAAGTCATTAAGAAAAATAAGCATTCAATTTCAGAGCCAAAGCACCTTTTATGAACTGACACAGATGAAATTTAGCATGCTTTATCATCAGTTTTTAATAACGATATGGTCACAAATGGCAAAGAGCCTTTTAATTTCACTACATTTGTTTTGCAACGGTGAGCAAAAATTCCCTCTTTATGAATATGCTAGAGTTGAATCCAGGATCCAACAATTTAAATTTTTCCACTACTTTAAAAAAAATCTTCAGAATTAAGCTAAGAAATTAAATCTACAAATCTACAAATACTCAAGTATATGATCTCTTTACATTATGAGGAAAAAGGATCTCAGAGACTTTTGTGGTGTTGAAAAAGGGACAGTATGAACCAAAATTTCTGCAGACTACTGCAGAACAAAAAAGCCAAAAAGGCATTATTAGTTTTATTTTGATCAGTTCATGAAAATCGCAGGTATAGAATCACAGCAGTCATGGAAAAAAATGTCTTAAAGTACAGCTTTGATCAGTAAATGACTATGTAAAAAGACATCTTGTTGAGATTTGCTTGTCCTAATTATACAATACAAAGTTTATTGCAGTACTTTCCCCACCCATCCCCCCCATTAACAGGGCAAAGGTATGAAGCCCCATTAACCTTAAATTAACAATTTTTTTATGCCAGGATGGATCATCATATAGTCTGAACTTCCTGTATAACACAGGCTAAAGAACTTCACCCAGTAACTCCAGCATCACAAGCCCTTATCTCATGGTTGAACTAGAGCGTGCTTTCTGGAAAGACACCCGATTTTGATTTTAAGATTTTGGGATGGACAATCCAGCTCATTCCTTGTTAAACTATTCCAATGGTTAATTACGGTTGCTTAAAATTTGTCCATTATCTCTAGCCTGAATTTACCTAGGGTCAGCCTCCAGTTGCTGGATCTTATTATACCTTTCTTTGCTACATTAAAGACACCTATATAGAAACCTTCTCCTTATATAGATATTGATGTCTGTTATATTTTGCTGATATTATTCTGATTAATTAGATTTGTTAAAATGCCAAAGTTAACTTGAAGTCTAGACAATTTTTAAGAGTTTTAAAAAAGTAGTTAACAGCAACTATACTTGTTCCTGAGTCATAATCTTCTCTATTTTGCCCCCCTCCAAAGGAAGTGTTTCTTTTCCCTACTGCTGTGTGAAAGACCCAGGCAAACAAAAGGATTACTGACTATACAGGAACAAATGTGTCATTGACTACACAGAGTGCTGTCAAATGAAGCCAACTAAAAAAAAAAAATAAAAAAAATAAAGTAACTTCTCTCTCTAATCTCTTTCAGTGACAGTCATCATATATGATCAACATCCTGATGTGGTAAAACTTTCAGACAGAAGTGTTATTTTTAATATGAGTGTCTCCAAGTTCAAAATGCAAAATGTATGTGTACACTGAGGAAGCTTAACATAAAAAGAGCTGAGCCACAAACATGGAACACAATTCAAGAGTCACTTTCCAGAACAAAAAAACTTTTTATAACTTATTTTCTTTTTGAGGAGTGGTGAAAATCCCACGCTGAGAGAAAAGTATAATTGGGAAAAAAAAAAACGCCTTCGCCACCCTGCTCTAACCATTTGCTTCCCTTAAATAGTCTTTTTTTCCTTGTGTCACATTTGACCTAGTTCAGGTAACACCTAACAACACCAACACACACCCAGGTAAATTAAGGAGAAGTGTTTTGCATTGGCTGTTTGGGGGGACACAGGAACGGCGAGCGGCTCCCGTGCAGAGAGGGCCCAACACGACTTGCCCTTGACTACACTGACCAGAGCCAATCGCGGGGCCAGCGGGAGCGCCCCCATACTGGGCTGCGTGGAGCATTTTCCCACCTGCGCCCAGGCCAGTGACACCGATCAGGGGAGAGTCGGCACGGAGCGTCCGGCGCGGGCAGAGCGGAGCCGGGGGGTGCACCAGCACCGGAGCCCACCGGGACCGTCTCACCCCTTCCCCGGGAGTGTTGGGGGGAGAGAAGCTCCCCGCGGGCCGGGCTGCCCCCGTAGCTGGAAGGGGTTTGGGCGCCCCCGCAGCGGGGCGCTCTGTCGGCCGGCTCGTCGCTTACCTGCCGAGCTCCCTGCCGGGGCTGAGGCTGTAGCGCTCCTGGAAGGGCTCAGTGCGGATCGCGGTGCGGATCTCGCTCAGGAAGCCGCCCCGCCGGCGGCCCCGGCCACAGGGAGGTTGCGACGGTGGCGCCCGGCTCCCGCGGGAGCGGCCCGGCGGGGGCTTCTCCTCGGGGCTCATGGCGGGGAGCGGGGGCACGAGCGCAGCCCTTGTCCGTGCGGGTAACAGGCGAGGCGCGAGCCAGCAGCACCCGAGCCAGAGAGCCGAGCGGACAGCTGTGCAGGCAGCCAGCCGGGCCGCACGCGCTGCTCCGACAGGAGGGGGCGGGGCGGGGCGAAACCCCGCCCCTCACTGCCTCACCTTTGCCAGAGGGGGCGTGGCTGCCGCGACGCCAGAAAAGCGGCAGGGCTGAAGTGGCGGTTGGCGGCGCCACCTGCCGGGCTCCGCACGCGCCGCCTCGGCTCATGGTGGGTTGTGTGTGCGCGTGCGCGTGCCCGTGCCCAGCCTGGCGGACAGCCACCTGCCTGAGCCCAGGCTGGCAGCTCGCCCTGGGCTCCTGCCCGCACCTGCTGGGCTCATCCCGTTCACGCAGGGGACCACAATGAAAGCAAACGAGAGTGCTGCGTTTCCCCCAAGCAGCCTCCTCCCGTTCCTGCACAAGCTGCCTCGCCTCCCTGGCACAGCAGCACCTGAACTAAGGAGATGCAGTGGTAGCGTGGCTAACTGCACCTGTTAAAAGTCCTGGCGTCCTCTCCCGCCCCTCATAGCCACATCCCCAAATCCTCAACTGATTAAAACATCACAAAGCTGAAAACTATAATAAAATTCAGGTTCTTATTGTCTTCTGCTTTTTGATACTTTAGCCTTCATGGTTGCTGAGAAAGGCTTGAAAACATGATACCTAGAAATCACCCGACTCCAGGAGCTGAGGCTTTAAGTAAAGCACCAACTATTGCAAGACTAGGGATAAAATCAAGAGGCTGGTGACGCTGGAAATGTTGCTCCATGCTGAGCACTCCAGGCTGTGTGTGTAATGTGTATACCTCTGGAATGTGCACTCATGTGTGTGTGTTTATAAAAAACAGGGCTTGTGTCCTGGCCAAAAATATCAAGCCAGAACTGTGTTGAAAATAAATAAGCCAGCCCATTCCTCTTTGCATGATAACATTGTTAAGAACTGTAATGCAGCAACATAATGCTTCTATAAGTGAGGGTCAAACTGTGGTCAATAGGCCAAATACAGCCCATGCAGTTCTTTAATGCTACTCTAATATAAAGAAGCAGCTCACAGCATATGTGGATTCTAGCACTCACTGTGGCCTGCTTGCTTGGATTAAGGCAGAATATCACATTACTACTACTAAATAATAATTGTATTACAGTAGCACCTACAGATATTACTTAAACTGTACAAATGCATAATAGGAAACGGCCCCCAAAAGCTTATAGACTAAATAGACAAGAAGAAGAACAGGAGGACTTGTGGCACCTTAGAGACTAACAAATTTATTAGAGCATAAGCTTTCGTGGACTACAGCCCACTTCTTCGGATGCATCCGAAGAAGTGGGCTGTAGTCCA